CTCCTGGGCTCAAGCGAGTCTCCTGCCTCAGCCTCCAAGTAGCTGGGACCACAGGCGCCCGCCACAACGCCCGGCTATTTTTTGGTTGCAGCCGTCATTGTTGCTTGGCGGGCCTGGGCTGGGATTCGAACCCACCACCTTAGGTGTATGTGGCTGGCGCCTTAGCCACTTGACCCACAGGCGCCGAGCCGGAAGGTGTGTTCTTAATGTTCTTCTAGTCAAAAACCTTTGAGTTAATATGTTTACTGAGGTCACTGTGAATTTCCAAATTTATGATTCTATAAATAGATTTATATTTCTAAATATGTTTATTTTTTTATTCCTGCTGTATGTTGTAGTTAATTATGTCTTTTAACATAAGAAAAATAATGCAGAAATATGCAGAACAAACGTGAAAGTGTCTCTGTACTTTTCTTCCTACTCTTCCTCGGAGGTACCTAGTATCAATAATTTAGTGTTTCTCTTAGACTCCTTTTATGTTTATGTGAACATACACACACACATATTTAGTGTAAATGAGATGATGATATATATTTATTGAATGATCAAATACTGTGTCTCTACTGTGTGCTAGGCACGAAACGAAAACACTCCTTAACCTTGGAGAGGTTCCTTTCTAGTTGGGAAGACAGAAAAGAAATAAGCAAACAAATATTTAACATATAATAATAAAGCAGGGTAAGAGGAGGTAGAGGGGAGTGGGAGGGAAACTTGAGACACAAAAAGAGCAGTTTTAGAGCAGTTAGGGAGGGTCTCTCGGGGAGGCAGCACTTGAATTGAAACCTACAGGAAGTGAGGAAGCAAAGGTATGAGGAAAAAGCATTCCAAAGGGCCTCAAACAGAAACAAGTTTGGCTTGTTCATGGAACCAGAAGGTGAATGTGGCTGGAGCTGAGAGTGCAAGGAAGTGGAAGTAGGGTATTGGGGTTTGAGGGGATGAGTTGGGATACCTAGAAGGGCCAGGTCAAAGAAGGCCTTGTTAACCTGGATAAGGAGCCTACATTTATTTTAGGTGTGATGGGAAACCAGTAGTATTATCAGACTTATACTCTTGAAAGGTCTCTGGTTGCTGTGTGGGAATAAACTGTTAAGAGGCCTGGGAGTTAGGAATTGTGTTACTGTGAGTAGCAGAGACACCCAAAATAATGACTTAAGCAAATTAGGTATTTGGGATTCATGCTAAATGTGTAGATTTTAGCTGCCTTTGCCATTAAAAAACAGAATAGGTAACTATGTAAGATGATGGATGTGTTAACTTGCTTCACTGTAGTAATCATTTTACTATCTGTATGTATCCCATAACATCAGGTTGTGTACCTTAAATATATACAATAAAATTCACTTGAAAAACAAATTAGAAGTTTTATTTTTCTCAGGTAACAAAAAAACTGGAGATAGGCAGTCTAGGGCTAATAT